TTGTATAGCACAGGGAAATATATACAAGATCTTGTGGTAGCTCACAGCGAAAAAAAAATGTGACAATGAATATATGTATGTTCACGTATAACTGAAAAATTGTGCTCTACACTGGAATTTGATACATTGTAAAGTGACTATAACTCAATTTAAAAAAAAGATAGTTTTCTAAATACCTAGAGGAATTTCAGGTAAGATTCATCAGACTCATGAAAATAGACATGTTTTCCAGAATGCTACACATGATGGTTATCAGGCCAAATACTCTTGCTGGTCTTATCACTTTTAAAAGTCTTTAGGCCCTACAAGAAATATACTTTCTAGTTTCTCTGGAGACAAGGTAATTAACTCAGTGGTCTAATGGAAGCCTGAGATAAGTATCTTGTAATATATGTTCATGACATAAAATTGCTTTTTAAAAAATTGGTGTATCCTAACTTTTATTTTTTAAGCACCTAAATTAAATTATACTGTATCCAGTGCTACCTATTCCTTTCAACAAACACCAGAACCACCTGGATATGTTTGAAAAGTTAGTTTGATTACTAAATGTATGTTAGGCTTATTCTTTTTGCTAATTATAAATAATACAGACATGAAGTGGAAATTTTAATATAAAGACTTTGGACAGGCCAGTAAAAATTGCTATTGGTATTAATATTGGAATTTGAGTGGTTGTAATCAAATTGTGACAGAGACATAAAAAAATGTAATGGTTTATTGGGCACAGTTGCTTCATATTTGCTAAAGAACAGAAAATAATATTTTTGCGGTATAATGAATTATTTTCTGTCCTAGATTATTTTTTCACTCATACTGTATGTAGTTACACGTACATACCTTTGTCATTACACTGTTTTTTGTATTAAGAGCTTTTTAGTCTTCATGTAGACATATTTTCATTACAGTTGCAAATTTCCTAACACTGATTTATTTTACTTATTTCTGAAACTCTTTTAAGGGCTTGTGATACATAGTACACAACAAAAATTTGAAGGTGATACAATAGAATTGAAATTGACTTAATGAATAGTAAATGTATTCAAAATTGTAATTGATATTTTAGTGTTCTGGTCTTAGTTTTGGATAGTACTGCATAATCCTCAGTGGCACACATTATTCTACAATGTTCCGTTGTGTCAAGAAAAAAAAATCACTGACTATACTTTTAAAGAGCCCTCATATGCTTCCTTTTAAATAATTTTTACTATTATTGTATATAAATTGCTATTTAATTTCAAAATAGCATTCTTTAAAATGAAGTATTAAAACCTCATAAACAACTCAATTTTTCTTGAACTAGCATCATGACCAAAATAAAACAACCACATAAAATTATGTAAAGGATATGCTTGCATATGTATAGATGTACAGCAAGTTATATAAACATTTTACTAACCTTTAATCGAAAAACAATTACAAAGTGAACAAGACACTATTTGGATTTTCAGAGGGAATAAAAAGATTTACTTAAAACTTAGGCAACTATTTTTATGTTTTATTGTACCTTAAGAAAGCAAACCATTACCTGTGCAAGAATGGGGAAGCCAAGGTTCCTACATCCATTACAAGGAGTTAATGCTTCCCAGAGTCCTGAGGGCCCACAAGTGTTTTCATCATCATCATCTTCTTCCACTTCTCCTGATGACAAGTTTATTGTAGATGAAGTTCTCTGAAAATAAATTTATATTATACCACTATATTATTTCAATGTATATATGATATCAATGTTATTTAGATATCTTAACATCAAATAAATTACATAAATTTCTCGTGGTGTATGTCAGCAAGGAGTTAGCTTAATTCTAGCCATAGTTATGTGGCTGTGCCATGTAAAACAGCCAAAAAACATGTATAGTTCAATTCTAAGTTGTAAGTAAAAGAAAATTGAAAGTGAAAAGACTAGGTGAAAAAGACTGGTAAGTTCATAATAAAGACTAGGATATGAAAGTGATCCAAGAAAATATATGAATAGTAACAAATGAGAAAAAATTTATGATTTCTAAATGCAATGAGAGGAATAGCATGAAAAGACTTTATTGCCATAAAACTGCTAAAAAGCTCATTCTTTTACAATGTCACTAAAAACGTAGTCTCTTTTTGAAAAAATAAACTTCATAAATGTCATACATATATAGGGGTAATAACTTTCAAAATTAATAATAGGACTTCCATGCTCAACATACATATTTAATTTTGCTACTTCCCAAATCTCACTTAAATGACAGCAAAAGGTTTGTAAAAAATGGTCTAAGCCATAAGGACAAGAACACCTGGAGGGATGTTAGCAGATGAGCAATATCAAAGAAACTTTTAAATAATGACAAACAGATGATTTATCAAACTGACTTAGCAACTTGAGGAAACTGAAAGCAAAGTGCCTGCATGAAGGAAGAATAGGAAGCAGGTCTATTCATGATTCACATCTTCAAAAGGGCTTTAGAAGCAGAGAGACTGACTATCTGTGAAGGTATAGGTGCAGGTGGGGCTGAAACAGGATGGAAATTTTATATTAGAAAGGGTTAGACCCCAGACCCATCTTCTTCTCACCCAGCCAAGAAACTAAACCTGACAAGAAATTGTACCACCTGACAAGAAATTGGAGGTTTAATTTCTGGTGAGGTTGAAGGAAAGGGATTATGAATTCTAAGAACTCATGCACAATGAGCCGAGGGGTGCCTCTCTAAAAACAGTGGAATTCAGTGAATATCTATGTAGTAAATGAAGATTCTCAACCTATCCCAGTGCCTTCTCACATTTGTCTTAGAGAACACAGCAGCTAATCTCATATCCCTTAGGTAGGAGATGAGAATCTATTCTTCTCTGCAGAAACTGACCTCTCAAGAAAAATGATCCATAAGTATTCAGGAAAAAGGTGGGGGGTCTATGCCTTAATGCCTACTGTAAAGCTCACCTCTCAACAAGCTCTACCCACATAAACAATTCCTAATGTTTTAGTTAAATACAAACAAGAATACAACAATCACCATTTGAAGGACCGTTAACAGACCAAAACAAATATACAGAAAAAAGTTATAAATGGTATCCTCAGCGAGATAGAAACTATTTGCATCCTTAAAATAAGAACAGAATGCTACCAAACAAATAAGTACATGAAATCCAATAGAAGTGTTGAAAAATTAGTCTGAGCAAATTCCCCAGAAGACTGAACAAAAGATCAAAAGAAGTTACAAGTTAAGAAAACTAGAGAATCAAACTAAGATTTCCATGTAGAGGTGAAAAGAAATTGTCAAAGTAATAATGCAAGAAATTTTGCCAGAACTGAAGAAAAATCTCATATTCAAAGAGCTTCCTGAATACTTAGCAGGCTGAATTAAAAAAAAAAAAAACAGGAAAAACAGTAAGTTTGTCTAAAAATATCCACAGTGTTGTGTTCAGCACAGCACTGATAGATTATGATTACTCAAGTTAGTAAAGATAGTTTACATACCCAATTGTAAAGAGCACCCATCTCCCTGCAAAAGCTGTTGCTTTTAAAAATAGAATGACTTTATGACTACTTTTTGCATTCACATCTAAAATTTCCCTTTATCAGCTTTCAATAACTGAGAAATTATGAATTTTAATTATCCTTCAATCAGTTACTGTCTCTAAGATACAATAATAACAATAGCTACAATCTATTGAGCACTCTATTATTCATTATTTTAATTCACACAGTACCTTGAGGCAAATACTAAACTAAGGCACAGAGAAGTCAAATAAAACCCAAGGTCGCAGAACTGGTAAGTGGCAGAAAAAAGATTCTAACCCAGAGTGCCTGACTCTAGAGCAACTATGTATTTGATTAGTGCTGTCTCCAAAAATGAATAGAATGATCAAAAGGGCACCTCCTTCACCAACTCATGATCAGTTACTGGTGTGACCATCAAGGTTGACATGTATCGTACCATAAATCATTATATACTTGGTGAAGAATTATCAACATTTTATAGGTTAATCAGTTCTTTTCTCACTCTGTCTCATTCTGCTTCCCAAAGAAAAACTCTGTTACTGCCCATTGTACAGCAAATAATATACAAATCTCTTAATATGACTTCAAGGTTTTATGGTCAAACTATTTCTCAACGCTTCTTCTTATTCTATCTTACTCATTCCAGACTATAACCAAGTAGAATTGTTCACCCTTTCCTAATCATGCTACATACTTTTGTTCATGCCCCACCTACCTCCATCTTACACAGCTATTGTAGTGGTTATAAATTTAGGCTCTAAAATTAGTCCTGGACTCAAGTTCTAACTTTTACTTATTAGCCAACTTATTAGTATGATTCTCAACAGAGAGGACCACTGTCAGCCTCACTTACATCAACCATGCAGTGGGAAGATAATACAGTAGTAATTCCCTCAGAATTTCTTCCTGATGACTAAATGAGGTAATAAATATAAAGTGCCTGACACATAGTAAGGTTTCAATAAATATTAACTACTATTTTTAGGTATTATTCTCTCATAACCCCATTGAGTCCTCAAAATAAACTTCAGCTTTCACCTCTTATATATTTTTTTCCAGATTTCCCACAAAAAGAAATGATGTTCCTTTCTTCTGAATGTCTTTCTGTGAATTTGTGTATTACATTATTTCACATATACTTTTTAAAATTTTTAAAATTATAGTTAATTTACAATGTTGTGTTAGTTTCAGGTGTATAGCAAAAGTGATTCAGAGATATATATATATATTCTTTTTCAGATTCTTTTCCATTATAGGTTATTACAAGATATTGAATATAGTTGATATTGAATATAGTTCAATATTGTAAGATATTGAATATATTGACCTGTGCTATACAGTAGGTCCTTGGTGTTTAGTTTCACATACACTTTGTAATGATACATGGCATAGTGGCAAAGAGCAAAAAAAAGCTTTGAAGTCAAATACATACACATTTAAGTCCTGGCTCTGCCACTTGCAAGTTGTGTGACTTTGAGCAAATCACATAATCTTACTAATCCTCAGTTTCCTTATCTGCAAAGTAGGCATAATAATAATTCCTACTTGATAGGGCTGTATGAGGAGAAAATTAGTTGCCTGACAGTCACTGGTAAAATATAATCAATAAATGTTGCTATCTTTATTATAATATTTATCCTGAGAGAGTTGCTAACACACAGAGAACACACATACACACATGCAACTTACTCATCCTAGTTAACTGTGAGTTATATGAAAGTAAACATTGTCTTACTCACATTTTATCTCTTACACTGTGTTGTGCAAAATGCAATTTAATAATCATTTATTAAATAAATCATTAAATGAATAAATTTCAAACTACCATTTACAATTGACTACCTAGAAAATTTTACTGATATCAAAGGGTGTATATAATTGCATCGCAAATATCTTTATTGTTATTTTTGTTTCATTTTATATTAACCATTGCCAATACCATTAGCAGAAATAAAATTTATCAGTGGTTTAGTACTGCCCCCTAAAGACTGTACAGAAGTTAACTGTGTACAACCATAGTTTTCTACTTCACTGTTTTACAGTTAAAGATGCCTGAGAAAGATTTTATCAAACTAAATATAATCTTCAATTACATATAGCAAGAAGCTACATGAACAAACGCTTAAGTTCAGAGTTTATTTCAAATGTTTTCCAAACTTTTTACTGGAGATTCAACTATGTTCCTAAAGTTTCAGATGTCAGGAAATTCTTCCATAGAGTATAGACCTAATTTACACGGTTTGAGACTATTAGCTTTCTTGGTTAATACACAGTAATTATACAGGAGAAATACTGGGCAAGTTCTACATTGTTTCAGATAATAAAAGTCATAATACATAAATATCATGGGGAGACAAATTTGAACTCACTAAAAGAAAAATACTTCTAAAATAATTACATCAGTTTAACATCAAAGAATTAGAATTTCCTTGTGAGGTGAGATATATATATATTATATTTATAAAACATATATGATATTAGATATATTAAAATTATGTTTATGTAAATACTTTAATATATATTATAATATATTATTATATATGACAGTATAATTATATTATATATAATATGTTTTATATATTTTATATTAACCATAATTACATTTATATAATAACTATATATACATTAACATACATATGTTTATATAATAACTATATAAGCATTATTATATAATAATTACATATAATAGTGCTTTATAGTTTAGAAAATGTTTTCAGATATGGAAGAGCCCAATAAAGTAGGATACGAGTTATCTCTATTTTACAAGTGAAAAAACAAATGCACGTGATGTTACTCAATTTGAAAGATCATTCTACATATGAGGGAGATTATAATCCAAGTCCTCTGACTCAGGTTCTATAATCTTTCTACCACACTACTAATAAGAAGGAAGCTTCTAATTACTAGAGCTTTTTGAAGGGACAATAGATGTTCAAGATATTCAGAATATCCACAAAAGAATTTGTTATGTGATAGTTTATAATTAATGGCCCTTAAAGTCTTTTTTTTTTAACTCTAAAATCCTGTAATCTAAACAATTAAAGTGTATATAGTTTAGGAAAAGGATCAAGGACCAGCTATGATCCCACAGAGCCCCTTTAATCCCCTTGGTCAATGCACATCTTTAGAAACATGGTGGCAGTAGGGGAAGGG